CTTCCATGCCTTAGGCATATAATAAATTTTGTATGTTATTTTTCTTGTTTAAAAACAAAATCTTGGGGCTGGGGAGGTGGCCCAGTAGAATAAGCACTTCCCTGGCAAGCATAAGGGCCTGAGTTCAATCCCCAGTACCGCAAAAAAAAAAAAAAAAAAAAAAAAAAACCTTCCTGTTGCTAGTATTTTGTTCTAGATGTTTGGTCTGCTAACAGCGAGGCAGATAGATGTCTACATAGTCAGCTAGCATCATCCAGGACAGTACCTTCTCCATTTTAGACACCTCACATAGTGGATGGCACAGGGAGGCACACAGACACTTTGTGAGCTCACTTAGGTTCTGTGGAAACAGTAGCCATGGTAGTCTGACAGACCTGGATATGAGTCACAGTTCTGTCACTAACAGTGTGAGTTTGGGCAGGTTATTTCACCTTGGAGACTATTTGCTTATCTGTGAAATGTGGTAAAGTGTACATGCACCTTCTTTTAAAAATGCCTTGCACATGGTTGTCTTCCATGTAGTTCTCAGATTACAGATATAAGCCATGTTTTTTAAAAATTGTGTATCATTTTAAATGTCTGAGCTATTTTTTTTTTAATTCTCTTTAAAATAAATTAAAAAAAAAAAAGTGCTTTGCAAAGGCCTCAACCCCCAGCATGGTATCTGACATTTACACTGTGGAAATTTTTGTTGTTTTTCTTTTTCTAGAGAACATTCTTACTTTTAGTTCCATGTTTAGTTGTAGAGCTGCTTGGGAATCAGCCAAAGCATTGGAACCTTAGATTTTCACAGTCTGAATATTATCTGTAAGGAACACCATTTTTAAGAAAAATATCCTTGGGTCAGGATGTAGCTCAGCAGCACAGCATCTGCCTGGCAAGTGCAAGGCTCTGAGTTCAATTCCCAGTATGCACCCCCCAAAAAAGTGTCCTTGTAATTTTCCACCTACACCCTTGATCGTGTGCCATTCGGATGCTATCCCCACAGCCTTCTTTTTCTCTCCCTTAGCCTCTAAGAAAACTAATGGAGATATATAGAGAGCTCCAAGATATAACTGACCTTGTGCACCTTTAATTGAGGAAAGAATTTGCTAAACTGCAGCCAAAAACCCACCAGTGGTTTACTTTACAATCCATGTCCTGGCTAGACTGGCTCTTGGCTGTATAATTTGTCTAGTTTTGTCTGGAATCTTAGACTGTTCAGCTGCTTCAGGGCAAAATCTTTTGGGGTGTCATTAAATGGGATTGATAATTGGCTTCTGATGAATATTCATTGTGACTAATGACTTTGGGCAAATTTTACACATACTATCTTTCTATTCTCCTACTGAGTGAGATTTTGATAGGATCGTTTTCCTCAACCTGCACATTAATTAAATATTCACATTATACTTCAAATTGTATACTTTCATTACTTTACAGTTTTGTCTTCCAAATTTTGTTTTCTGTAAGGAATGGGCATAATTATTTAATGATTCTCATTTTTTAGAAATGGGGGTTAGAATTATTTTAAGAAGTAGTTGGTGATACTTTACAAGACAATGTATTTCTGACTAAGCATAGGTATATAGTGAGATTTTTCTTTAAAAGTAATCAGCTTAGTCACTATTCTTAAGTAACAATGCACATAATTTGTGCCATTTAGTATTTTGGAATAAAGCCAAATAGTTCCCTGCTTTGTTTGTTTGTTTTCCTAATCAAATGAGTGAATGTATTTTACTCCAGTTGGAGAGATCAAGCTCTTAGAAATGATCAAGAAATGTAAAACAATGAGAAAAAAAATGAAGGATAAGTCATTGTAAAATCCTGGCTTTTAGCTTGGTGGATTTATTTTGAAGCTAAGGAGACCAAGGAGAAACATTGTCTGAAGATAACATTTTGACCAAAAACAATTTAAGCTAAAAAGAAGCAGGTGATCGAGTTCTGTTTCAAACAGCACTGTCCTGTCAAATGACTGTTTCAGAGAATTTGTAAGAATTCCTGTGATGATTCTTATTTTTGTATAGCACTTCATAGATTTTGAAATGATTTAATAAGCATATTATTAAATCAATAAATAACAACTCAATTTTCCAAAAGTAGTATATTTGTATGTCTAACTTGTTGTTACTACTTTGGAATTTGAGTCCTATACCCAACTGTGGGACTCGTGAAAATGATAGGACAGTATTGTTGAAAACCAAGCCACTATCTTTCGATTGTGAACATATTCAGAGTATGATAACGGGCCATATGCCCAGGGGAGTCAAAGAAAGGCTTTGAAGAGGAGTTTAGTGTTTGTGCAGAGTCCTGAGTGAGAGATGTGTTTGCTAGAGTGCAAATCTAGTCTAGTTTAGAAGATAAGGGAAAGAAAGTCCACAGTTAATTCCTACATCTACAAAATGAAATATTCCAAGGGAGAACTTGGAGAAGACAGTTAAGAATGGTGGTTGGAACTGCTACTTTCCATGAAGAATGGGAACTGTAGAGACACCCTTTCCTAGGCGTGCCCTTGTGACTTCTGAACAAGTAGTGCTGGGACACAGCCTGCACAGCAGAAGCAGCACTGGGGCAGCTAGGTAAAGGATGAGCTGAGATCCAACGCTAGTGTAACCTTAAGCCTGACTGCATGGTAATATTGGAGTAAGCTGGTTCTTCCTCTGTTCACTTGACAACAGTAAGGATTTCATTTCTAGGAAAGCCTGAGGGGATTAGTCATATATGTGTTCATATGACAAGCTCCTTTATCAGGGGACCAATAAAAATAGGTTGGGAACTCAATAAAATTATGGGGAAAAAATTAGGTTGGGAAGGGTGGGTGGGACCTTGTAGCCTTGGCATGGTTGGTGGAAGCAGCTCTCAAGTGCTTGCTGGATTGTCTCCTGTTCATGGCATGAACCTGTTATAAAGAACAGAGTCTGAAAGGAAGGGGGGAGAGCACCCAGGCTTTAATACACAGGACTCACAACTGTGAAGCGTCAACAGAATATCCAATTTAAAGCTGTTCATGTTACACTAACCTCTGGGATTCTTTTAACTGGGCCTTGGCACATCACTCTTTCGCCACGTAAATGTCCTTCTGTCAGCAAAGGCCAGTTAACAGCTTCCAAAAGAGGTGAAGTCCTCATGGGAACAGGCTTCCCAGAAACCAAAGAAACATTAAAGAAAAAAAACACAGAAAGAAACATGTGTTGTTGGCTTTTGTCACTTCATAGCTATATCTCCAAAGATTGCTTTTTCCCCCTTCCTTTTTGCTGTATTGAGTTTTGTAGCAATTGTATCCATTTTTAGTATTGTTATTTTCTAAATATTTATGTCCCAAATACTGATTTTATGAGACAGTATCTCTAACTCTTAAGAAAATAAAAAAAGAAATATGAAATAAGAGCATGTCAAAAAAATAGGAAGAGGAAGGATTAGCCAGTAAAGGGTGCCAGAACAATTGATTAACTATGTGGAAAAAATAAATTTTCACGTCACTTCTTAAAACTAAATTGATTCCAGACGGATTAAAGAGTTAAATGTAGGAGAAATCTTTCAGATTTTTTCAGGATAAAAGTAGTGGAAATCACTATAAAGAAAAAAATTATCTACATAATTATTTAAACCTCTTCATTCAGAAATTTGAAGAAAACTAAGGATAAATCATTTTCAGAAACATTACAGAAGCCTGTAGCCTTTTCAATTATCAGTGCTGTCTTATAAATCATTGTTTAAGTAATAGTGTCTCATTTAGAAATGAGCTGATAATATAACGTAGACCATTTACTTAAGAAATGTAGTCAGGAAACATGACAGAAGTTGTTCAGGCTCAATCTTGGTCAGAGCAATAAAAATAGAAGTAAGATCAATACAGTTTTAAAGGTACTGACTTGACTGCAGAATAAAAGGCAGTGAAATCAACATCATAGCAGTGGCTAGGGAGTATAAACAGCTTCTATTCCCCTATTATTGTGTTAGCATATTTATATTACTACATTTGGTGAGTGCCTGAAAGTATTTATTTAACTTTATCCTTAAATTATATACCTAGAAACTACATATAAATTTTTTTTATCTGATAGAATTACATAACTTAGTGATAAAAAGAGTAGTAAAAGGGCCAGCGAAATAGCTCAGCAGACTAAGCCCCTACTTAGGCAAGCACAGAGACCCGGGTTTAATCCCCAGCACCACATGCTCCACCAGCGCCGCCCCAGGTGCACTGAGCCAGGCCACCAAGTCCAGGTGTGGTGGCGCACACCTATAATTACGGTGCTTGGGAGGCTGAAAATAGGAGGTTCACTGCAAGTCCAAGCTATGTAGCAAGACCCTGTACCAAATACATTAAGAGAGAGGGAGAGAGGGAGGGAGGGAGGGAGGGAGGGAGGTGAAATACAGTATGAGAAATTCATTGAGTATCATTAAAAGATTTTTAGGGCCAGGGAGGTAGCTCAGTGGAATAAGTGCTTGCCTGGCAAGTACAAGGTCCTGAGTAATCCCTGGTACTGGGGATATATATATATATTTTTTTTTTCTGGGAAAGTGGCATGAAATAATGTTAACTTTAAAAAGAATACTATAGTTATCGTAATCTTATTAGGAAAAGAATCATAAATGATTATGTGTATGATACCCTAAAATGGTAAATAATCTTCCAACAGCATAAACTCCTATCTTCTTGTATCTCTCCATTTTCTGCATGTGTTACTGTATTCTAAATGTGCATTAGCTATCTTTTTCTTTTCTTTTGTAGTACAAGGGTTGGAACCAAGGGCCTCACCCACAGTAGCCAAGAGCTCTGTCACAGAGTATACCCCCAACCCTACATTCCCATTTATAATAAAATATATATATTTTTTGAAAATTCTTAACAAAATTTTCTCTAAAATGATCACATTAACTTAGCATTATTTCTCCAGATTTTTCATCCTATAATTTTAAGTATGCTGATGTGTATATATTTGATTTTATTGCCGCAAGACAGGGACAGTGCTCAGTCCCTTGATTTGTTCTGAATTTCTGCTTTGCTTCTGTTGCAGTTGACTGCCTGCATCCACGGCTCGGCCGCAATGCTCTACCCCATGTACTGGCAGCATGTGTACATCCCTGTGCTGCCCCCACATCTGCTGGACTACTGCTGGTAAGGCTGTGGTGTACCTTGCCCTCCGCTTTCCCAGTTCCAGGGATGGGCTGGGCAGGATAGATCCATAACTTGTTAATGCCACTGAGGACTCTAAAATAGTCTAAACTAGCTCAGATTTGAGACCACCTGATTACATCGCCCTTTTCTTTCTAACAGCCTTTATACCTCATGACAGTCTGAGGAGTTGAAGGGAATGGGTAATCTTTTTCCCATTTCTCAATTGGAGAAACCAAAGCACCAAGAAGTTCTGTGCTTTTTCCCCCTAAAACAAATTGGAAACTGGTGACGGGAATGCTTAAGATCCCTCAGGTCTTCATGTTTCAGCCATGCCCTGGCATGTCACGTCAAACTTGCTCTCAGCTGCCATTTGGGAGCAAAAGCCAGACTTCAAAATCCTCTGAAGCTTTTTGATGAGAATGTCACTGTTGAGTGAAACATGTTTTAGTGGAAGAGAGGAAGCTTTGGAGTTGACCTGGGTGAGTCACTTGGCCTAAGGCTTTGTTTCATCATCTGCAAGATGAAGTTGTTCAGTATGTAATTATAACGGTGAAAGGAGATAACAGATAAAGGCCATCAGGTATGTAGAAAAGCTGGCTCACAGAAGGTGGGTAGGTAGGTCGTGTTTCTGCTGTAGCATCCTCTTCTTCATTGTCTTCAGTAAGTAACTGGAAAAATCCGGGTGGCCAATTTGGATCCATTTTTCTTACAATGAATCATTTCTCTAGTATAATGTGATAAAAAGACATTGTCTCCAAACAGCTCTTATAAGCAGACATTGATAACGGAACACAATTCATACGGAGGGAAAAGCATTCACTGCTTGCCAGAAATTGAGAGCTTCTGGAGAAAAGGACCCTGTCACTTAAAAACAGATGATTCAGGACATGTGCCATTGGCTCAGAATGACTGAGTCCAGACCAGTCAGAAGCTCCGCTGTTTTGCAACCCTCTCCTTGTGGAGCTTCACTCTCATAGCCAGATTATCCTCAGAGAATATTAAAGGCATTCTACTTTCCCTGTGCTTTGGTTTGGTTTGCCTTTGTTTTGTTTTAGTAAATGTTTGCAGTACATCATGACCACCCTCCCTTCTTTTCCCTTTCTGGCATCTCTGGATCCCCTTTTACAAAAGCTCTATCTCCTTGTTTCCTTTTTTTAAAATTTTGCTCTTTAATTTATATTTTGGGTTTTTCATGTAAGAGAATCCATGTAATATTTAAGCTCCTGTGTCTGATGTATTTCGCTTAAGATTATGACCTCGAGGTACATCCATTTTCCTCCAAATGACTCAGGTCTTCTTTGTGGCAGAGCAGTGCTCCATTTTGTGTAAACACCAAATTTTCTTTATCTATTCATCTGTTGAAGGAAATATAGGCTATTTTCTAAGACTTAGCTATTATGAGTTGTGTTACTATAAACATGAATGTATGTGTATTACTATATAAATACAGTGTTTTTAACACTTCAGGGAAGATACCTAGAAGGGGAATAGCTGGGTCAAACAGAATTTTTATTTTCAGTTTTTGAGGAGTTTCCATGCTGACTTTCATAGTGACTGGACTAGCTTACATTCTCACCAACAATGTAAAGGGATCCTTTTTCTCCTGCTACCTTGCAGCCTTTATTATTACTTGACTTCTTGAAGTTGGCCATTCTTTGTGGAGTAGGATGGAATCTCAGTGTTGTTTTAATTTGTATTTGTCTATTGACCAGCAGTGTTGAACAATTTTTTCATGTGTTTATTGGCCATTTGTACTACTCTTTCCAAGAAGCTTATTCATTTCAGTTGCTGTTCTATTTTATTTTATTTTTTAATGTATTTGGTACAGAGTCTCACTATGCAGCTCAGACTTGTAGTCAGCCTCCCCAGTGCTGGGATTACAGGCATACACCACCACACCCGGTCTCAGTGGCTGGCTTAGCACTCCTGGGGGCAGGGCTGGCATGGCATGTGGTGCCAGAGGTCAAACCCCAGTCCCTACACTTGTGAAAACAGGCACTTAGTCCACTGAGCTATCTCGCCAGCCCTTGGAAAAAATTTTTTCCATTCCCTCGGTTGTCTCTTTACTCTGTTATTTCCTTTGCTGTGCAGAAACTGTTTAATTTGGTATAATTTTATTGGTTGATTCTTGATAGTATTTCTTTTACAACTGTGTATACTTGTGTCTTTAAGGTTTTTACTTATTTCCTCTTCCAGCAGATTAAATATTCTGTTTTAACATTTAGATCTTTGGTGCACTTTGATTTTAGTTTAATACAGATGAGAGTTAGCAGTCTAGATTCAATCTTCTGCATGTGGATAACCAGTTTTCCCAACACCATTTGTTAAAGAGGCTGTCGTTCCTCAAGTGTATGCTTTT